AAAATACATGATCAACAGATGCATCTTTGAGATCATTCAGGAAAAACAAATATCTCTACAATTCATCTACTTGTGGAAGTAAAAGTTTAGAAAATGAGAGAAATACCTAAGGTCATACATGTATCTCTGGGAGACACAGACATTTAAGTGGCAGTGGAAGTCAAACATACATATTTCCCAGGCTACTGCAATTCCCATTTGTTTTGCCTTCTTTCCCTGTATGCAGGCATTGCACTATGCAGTAATATTTTTCAATTTTCTTTCTTTGTTAATTCTGACTTTTTGTTTCTTTTAGAAATAAAAAAAAAAAAAAGCAATTTCTTGGAGCAAAGATGATCTATTCAGATGATCTTAACATTGGGAAAGGGAGAACAAGACTACAGACGGCTGAAACCGGGGATTTCCAGTTTAATGGAAAATTCTGGTATTCTGATTATTCAGAATCAGAATAAACTATTTCAAAATTTCCCACAAAACAGAAATTGAAAAAATACCCTAAAAACTATGCTTTCAAAAAATGTTGAAACACATTTTTTTTTTTGACATTTTAGTTTTGTTAGTTTTACACTACTTTTCATATTTTATAGTTTTTGTTTTGCCAGAAATAACTGCACGTTATCTGTTGTCACTTAATTAAGTAATTTCCATAATAGATGTTATTGTGGTGGGTTTTTTGTTTGTTTTTTAAATCTACTTAAGTATTTAAATTGCGAAAACAGTACATATAAAAATTGATGTGTATTTCATTTGCGTAGGAAAGTAAGATCAGTATTTGGCTTTGTACTATATTTAGCAGAAACTTTCTAAATCTCCGTGGAAAAAAATATAATATATTATATTGAAGGATATTCCAAATGTAGACACTCTAATTTCTGTGATAAACTAAATTTAAAGAATTACTCAGTACATTCATTTAACGAACCCATGGGTTAAATTTGACTGTTATTAATACCAGTTGTTTCTATCGCTTCTACCCGTAAAAGAAACTCTGAACTGAGGTCCTCACACACCCATTCTCTTGAAACATGTTTTTCTTGATCTGTGAACATAAAAGGTTTCAATTTCCTTGATTCTCATTTAATCGGGAAACTTGCACTTTCCCTGTTTTGCCCTAAAGAGAAACGGCTTTTCATGGCACTGCTCTTCTCTTTTGTCTTTCTTCAATACTACCATTGTAATGACAGCTCAAATGTAACATCATTATTCTCCCCATCAAATTTGTACCTTGTTTTTCATGTAGTGATGATACTACTTAGGTCACCATGGGAAAAAGTGGAGTAGCTCATTTTTTTGTTAGTCCAGTTTTTAAAAAAACAGTTGGCAAGGATTTTTCTACCTGTCTTACTTTGAATTTCAATGCAACATTTCTTATTCACACAATATTTACCTTCACCTGTTTCTCCAAAGTTTCCTAGAAAAGAAAGCTAAACTTCTCCAATAGCAAACAAGTAAATAATTCATGTGAGACTGTAAGAACTAAGCAGTCGTTTCTGTCTTTCAGGAAATAATGCTACATTGTAAATAACATTTTATCTTATCCAAAAGCAAGCAAGATGATTAATGAAATAAATAAAAAGAGAATTCTCCAAACCAAAAGACCTTGAGCTGGATGCTAATAAGAAAATAAGGAAAATATACATTCAGATTATGCTAGAATGAAAATGTTGATTCTCCACTTTAAAACCTTTTCAGAAAAGGATCACAAAAATAGTAAGTGACAGAAGATATAGTATCTCTGTTTATGAAGAAGCCAAAGGTAATACTCAGGTCAAAGTCCGCATTTACAAGAATCCTAGATCAGCATGCCAAAATAAGGCCTTATGGTGGGGTTCAGTTACCTAAACACTGTTGCTGAAGGCCATTTGAGATGCCCTAAGCTATCCGAGAAATCTATCTAGGGTCAGCAGATATGACACAGAGAGGAATTACATATCTTTCAGTAGTGGAAGCTGGAAGACATGCAGGATATCCTACAGCCCTAAAAATGATACTGGATGCCCAGGTTTAGGGAAACAAATACTGCCTTTAATGCCTAGCTTTATGATTGTCTCCTCAAAAAATGAAAAGAAAGGAGAGGAGAGGGGAGGGGAAGGGAAGGGGAAGGAATTGAGGGGAGGGGAGAAAAATACAATACAATTTCCATTAGCGCAACAAAATGAATTCAGAAACCAGTCAATACAATCAGTAGGCTAAATAGGCTAAGGAGGCCTACTGAAGGGCTGAGGGAAGACTGGTAAGACAGTGTTCTTCTAGCGGTTCTTCTGCCTTTTGGGGGGAACAGGGAACGTATTACCACAACATTCAGTACCATTCAATCAGCTTGTATCTCACTGCATTTGTGTATGTTCTGTGCAGAATTGCTGTTTTTAAGACAATGGTATCTATTCTGATTCTACCTTGATTCCAGAAGAATTATTATCCTAGTATAGGAAAAGAAACAGCAGTTCTATATAATAAGTAACTCGATATAGGTACCAGTGAACTAGTACAGGAGAAGGCAAGAGAACAGTATACACTTTGCCTTTCAGGCACTGAAAAAAAAGCCAAAGATATTCAGACTATTGTCTTTTATAGATTTAGAGAAATTCTGCTGACTCCAATAGATTTTTTTTTTCTGAGTATTTTTATGACTACCATACATTATGGAGTTTACAGGTGCATTTTATTCAAAGTTGTAGATATATGCAACTATGTCATTAAGAAGTAAATCATACAGCAATTTATTCTAAATGGTTTATTAACTAATAGCTTTTTACCAGGAAGAAATGAAAAAATCTCTAATAATTAGCAGACTGCTATACTGAGTAGAATAAATGATCAGAAGAGAAGCTGTGTTTTAGGAGAGTAGTGATTCCCAGATAAATATGTCCTAAGGAATGTTTTATTTCCTAGGAAAAAAAAATATGGAATGGGTTGTAAGAAATGTATTGCGCTGTTTAACAGTAAGTCTAAAAATTATTACAAAAAATCTGTCATTGTTTTCTTGTCCTTTCACAAAATCACTTGAAAGTGACAATTAGACAGAAATGGAGTGCTTCTGAAAGTCAAATTATATTGCTGGAATGAAGGTACAGAGTTCAGAATGGCTCCATCGAAAGAAGATGGATCAGTACTACGGAGAGAAACCACAGTTCTTTGGCTACCATGAAAGACAAAAGTTCCACCTTCTGCTGTGTGTTGCTGTCATGATCAGCGGAGGCCTGGTAAAAAGTCAAGAAAGCCACCATGAGGAGTAAAATGAAGGTTTGAACCTTGGCAGTGGGGATGTGAGAAATGTACTGATTCCTTTTAATATTTAGGAAGATAAAGGAAGAAGTGCATGCACCCATCTATAGTACTACTCTTCTCACCTCCTCCTATTAGGCTGGTGAAATAAGTGATATATGTGCTGCAAGTTGGGGTATCCCTTGGGATATCCTCAAGGCATATTTAGAACCATGCCACTGCTCAATGAACTCTGAATCACAGTGGAATTAATAAAATATACCAGGATTACAAAATAATGTGCCTTCAGTATAAATGCGTATTGGTACACTTGAAATTCTGATTGGTATTGCCTCAACTAAACAAACTTACCTGTGATTCTGCCATTATGCAAAATTAGAGGAAGCCCCTTCCAAGGAGTTAGCTTATCTAACTCTAACCAGCTTAACATTACACAGAGCAGACTATCAGCCATCTATAGAAGATACTAATAACCAACTACATCCTTTCTGCCTGGCTAGTATGATAAGGTTCAAAGTGGATCTGAAAACTGAGGACCTGAAACAATATGACCTCAATTATTATTTTTAATAATACAGTACATCTAGCTGTTATGGTTTGTGACATGTATTTGTTTGCAGTCTTGATTAATGCTCTACTTTTAAATGCCATCTTCCAAAATCAAAGGCTAACAAGTACAAACTGTATCCATAAAACAGCATCTCGATTTTATTCTCAATAGCTAAGTATTGAAATGCAAGCATACATTATAAATAGAAAAACAGCTGGCTTGGAGCACACTGCAAGCCACTAACACAGTTGAGGGATTTGAATGACATCATAACCCGTGAGAGCATGCTGCTGGCCAGCTGGTGTTATTTATAATATACTCATAATTGAGGAAAAATAAAAAGGCAAAAGTTAGGTATTGCAGAACTAACAAATTCTCTCCTCCCCAGTGTCACTTAAATTATTAGGAGTAATTATGAAAATTGCTTCTAAAAAGGGGAAAATCGCCTTACAATTACAAGAGAGCATTTAAAATAAAAGTAAGAGAAGCCCTTCAAACTAGGCTACTTGAGTTACTACATTCATAGTACTGTAAATTCTAGGAAATTGTATGACTTCTGTGTGGTTGCTAAAGGATCACAGGGCTGTTTTGCCCTATTTACAAGCAGTGCTCAACAACTCTTTTACTTTATGCAAATGACAAACTGTTATTTTAGGGTTAATAGCACAGAGAGTCAGTGGTTTTAATTGTTAGTCAGCATGTAAGCGTGCCAAGTTTAGTAATGTAAAGATGCACTTAAAACAAAGTAAACTGTCTGCCCTTCTCTCTAGGTTAAAATAAATGAAATAAAATACCTGTGTCTCTGCATGAATGAAATGTGCACAGTTGTACACAGGAATATAAAGGTATACAGACGATGCCTTTACCTATGGAGGCTTTTGTCTATTTGAAAAGCAGACACATACACACAAAAATGCAAATGTACACATAGCCACCCGAAAGTTAACCAGAATACATTCTCTTATTTTCCGTGGCAGCATAAGCTTTTTTGTCTGCTAACCCCTCAGTCACTAATTCACATTCTTTTAAAGGGGAAAAAATATGCTTCTGTGCTCTAGTTTTAAAATGCAAAGGTATGATGTTATTTGTCACCATGCCCAAAAAAGTCCTTACTCGGTAACTTTGCCAGAAGAGGGAGAGAGAGAGAAGGCAAATGCTCCCCCAGCTGTTTCCTGTCTACAGTGTCTGTGTAATGTAGATAAATGTGAGGATTTTCTCTAAATCCCTCTTCTGTTTGCTAAATCTCACTGTCACTGCTAAAATCAGAGCAGATAGAGCCTGCGCAATGGAATAAAGTCCTCAATATTGAAATGTGACATTGCTCTCAACATCTCACATCTCTCTGGATTTCTTTTTTCTCATCATTACTGCTAACAAATTCATTTCCAGACTTTGCACTTTTAAGAAGCAATGGAAAAAATCAACAGTCTTTCAACACAATTAGTTAAGTGCTGCTTTTGTGATTTCTTGAAGGTAAATCTTTATTACTATTTCAAATAATTTTTTAGCTTTATTTTACTGTGTGTTGTCTGCTTCTGCTTTGAAGAGTATGTGCACTTTTCAGTAGCATTATTTTAGTATTGAGAATTATTTCTAAATTGCTGAACATGCAATTTTATGTGATCTGGAAAATGGTTATATGTAATAGTTGCAATTACATAGATAAGTATAAGGGTAAACTATTGCAGATACATGTCTTAAATGTCACTTCTGTTCAGAGAACTTCACAATATTTCAGTTATGTCATTATTAAATAGTCCAACTACATCATTGTCTATATTGTTAATTAATGCTTCTGTACAAGAACTTTTAGCAGTTTTCTGCAGGTGCAGATTTTTATAGGAAAATGGACATTGTACACATGTTAAGTTTCTGTAGTTTGTTAAACACAGTTAGAGATAAAATCTTCATGCTTTCACACAGAAACTTTTAAGGGATGTTGTCACTGCAGCAATTTTCTGGCAGCACTGTTGCATTTGCTTGTTTTTTTGCTTTCATATGTTAAAAGTAAATGTGAAGTTCTGTTTGTTTTTTACATTAGAACCCAGCTGCAACTCTTGCTGACCTTGCATATTTGTCTAGCTCAAGCAATTGTATATAAAGAAAATGGAAATTCTCCTACATGTTCTTCTCCAAGTTTTTTTCTTGTAGGGAGGGCTGATTCATGAAAGTTTGCATATGAAGTTTCATGTTATGACTCTAGAATTTCTAGTCATTAATATAAGCTGTCATTAGGTAAATTTGGGTTCAGTATGTGCACTGACCTCTGTTTCTGTCAATTGGCTCTTGTTCAACTTTTCATTATCAACAAATTTATATCCTTCAAGAACTTACTCTCTTTAGTGGCTTGAAGCACACTTATGCAGTTGACAGAATTCTCTTGTTTTAATTGTTTAGGGCCTAATTATTTTTTTTAGAGAGACTTACTCCCTTCCTTAATGTGATTCAGAAGAGCAAGTCTGTAAATGCAATGGATAAAACCATTCTCCTAATGTACAAATGGGCATCCTTTCCAGTCTACTTGAAAGGTGAAGAAGTATTTTTTTTTAACTGTTGAGCAAAGCATTAAGAGACATAAAAGTAATGTGCTAGTTCTTCAGCTGATGCATCCTGCCAAGCTTCCTGGGAATCAATGGAGCATATTGATTTAGGTTAAGATGTAGCCCTGATTTTTTTAAAACAAAATTAGCAGTATTTAAACCTTGATCCATCCTGAAGTACATATGCTTTATATATAATAAATGCTAGGGAATACTGTTATTAAATGTTAATTGTAAACTTTTACTATGACTTGGTAATTAGATCCAAAAACTATGTAGCAAAATGAGTATAACTTTTTTTTTCCTATAGCATATACTATCCATAAGAATTTTTTCTCACATCAAAATATTTATAATTATTATGAATGTCAATGTGCTATTAAAATGACCAAGCATGGGAAGAACTCCTATGCACAAACTATGCCAACTAATAGCTTGTTAGAAGAAGTGGATTTATATTAGAAGAAGTGGATTTATATAGAAAACTAAGATGTAAAAGAGATGTAGAGTGCTCATATATGACATTCTTCTGTGGTGCCACTCTTCTGGACTATTAAAAGAGGAATGCAGCAAAAGCTGGTTATTTTACTGAAAAAAAAAAAAAAAAAAAAAAAAAAAAAGAGGAAATTCCAGCTGTGAAAATATGGTCAGTCATTCTATGCAACCAAAAGAAGTGTTTAACCAGGCTCATCCTGAACCTGTATTCAATTTCCAAATGTAATTAGATGCTTCAATAAACCCCACCCACATGCCAATGCATTTTCTTTTAAAGTCTCAACTTTCTAGTGAAACTGGGGACACTAAGAACTCTGCCTGTTTGCAAAGGACCTGAAGCAATACTGGATTATAACTTTGTATTTTCTTAAGTCTATTCTCCTTAGAAATAATGGGAACTGTGATTTAACTATGAACATATTGAATCAACTAATGTTGTATTTAATTAAATTGATGAAGTATAGTTAAAGTCTTAAACTATGTTTTGGAATTAGTTTTGACACAACAGCATTTAAACAAAAAAGTAATTGACTCCCAGAAACATGTTGATCTTTTCTCTCTCCCAAAGTTTTTACTTGGTTGCAAGTACTTGACTGCTTTTAAATTTGGAGATAAAGTGTAGAAATTCTCTGTGGTTTATACTGTGCAGCCTTTTTGGCCTCCAGTAAAGGAAAAACAGTAGATAATCTGTTTTGTTGTAGTCTAGTGCTGATATTTATCTTAAAATGTAACCCAGCTGAAAAGTCATGCAAAATACAAAATTGTTAAATGTCTAAGATTTATATTTATTTCTGGCCCAAATATTACACAAGAACAAACTGTTAAATACATAACGTTCTTGTATTTATAATGCCTTTCTCCCGTCTCAGCCTGTGTGCTGAACAGCTTTTTGATTTACCTCCTCAGAACTAGGAACCATCTTAAACCACAGGTGCATAACATTAATCTTTAAAATTAAAAAATATGGCAAGGGAAAAAAGAAGTTCATGTTTTTAAGATATGGAATAATTACAGGAAAGAATGCCATGTGTTATCATTCATTTATAATTGACCTTCCTCCATCTGCCACTGTAGTCAGCAGATGTCCATGCATTAAAACTTGTTGGTTTTTCCATGGCAAAGTTGGCTAAAGACTGTTGTGAATGGGAAAATGATTATTCTTTCTTTTCATGAGATAACCTGGGATTTAGATTTGCTTGTTATTTTCGCAGTGGAAATATTATCAGGAAAAACAGAGGGGTACATTCTGACTTATTTATAGACTTTTTTCTTACTCAGCTTTGACTTAAGCTGAAATAGGGGACTCATCCAGCAAGATGCTAAGATCTCTTGCCAAGAAGAAAAGAATACTTACAAATTATTGACTTAAATGAGAGAAGGCTCAATACCCCACTGGATCAACTCTCATATGACCAGACAATAGACAGTTTCGTCAGTTTTTCAGAAGTCCAGTGAAAAAATAAGAGAAACAAGTCCCTAAAAGAAACTTCAGGAAATACTACTTTTTACTGCAGTTGCTAATGTAAGGAAGTTTTAAGCCAAGGTTAACTGTACATAAAAGAAAGATTCATAACCTCTTACCTGACTGCAATACTAAAATTAACCTTGCAATAGAATGAAATTAAATGCAGATTTACACCCTTTGAAGATAGCATTTTTGTCAAATGATCTAAATCAGGTCAGAAAATGCATTAAGCACATTCTTCACTGTTCTGAAACTAAATAGAAATAGATTTTCCTAAGACTCAAAAAAATTCTATGTTGAGTAAGATCTTCTGTTGCTACTAAGCGATACTAAGGGAAGTAGACAAAATGCAATTGGGCAAATTGACAACCAATGAGGATCAACCATAATTCAACCTTATGTCTGGGAAAAAAAGACTTCGCATCCAAGTGTGATGAAACATTCATCACCTGTATTTATGCCTCATAGCCAAACCTGAACTAAGTAGATAGAGAAAGCATACCTGCTTCTGTATTTGTATCAAATACAAAAAAATCCTTCGCTATTTCTCCTCTTAATTTCTTGAATGTTTCCAAATGTTAACCTGCTTGTAACAGAAGACTGGAAGAGTCACTGAATGTAGTCCCCTATTGTAGAAGGTCCCATACAATCTCTTTACTAAGTTCAGCAAGTTCTATCTTAAAACGCCTTTTTATTTTGTCTTAATGTTTTCATTCGTAAAGTGTCTGGACAGCCACAGAGCTTTAATAATTTATTTTTTTCCTCTTGGGCAAAATTTCCTTTCATCTAGTTAACAGCTATTTATTCTTATGACAGCACTGTTGTTTTAAATAGCTCTTATATACCATTTCCACATGACCCAGCGCATTGACAGACAGCTATTTTCCCTATTAGCCTACCTGGACACAAACAGAACAACATAAGGCTGTCCGATTTTCCTTACCCTAACTATTCCAGGCTTCCTGAGTTTCTTCATCTTTCTGTAGTACTATTCCATATCCTTCTCTAACAAGAGCAACTATTAATCATAATTCCTGCAAGGCTTTCTAACTACATGTGAGTGTAAACCAAGAATACTTACTAGATTAAGTCATGAGTTTACCAAATATTAAGTCTAGAATATGTAGATTGCAGCCTATCCTGATACTGCATATGTTGTCTAACAAATTACAGTACATATGAGCTATCAGTTTATACAGGTGCAGGATTCTTTTTTTTTTAAGACTCTGTTGGGAAACTGACACAGTACTTTTCCTTCCTTGGCAGGTGAAGATGCACACTGTGTCCTACATTCATTTCTTCTACCTTGCCCTGTGTTTGCTTACCTTAACCAGTTCTGCTGCTGCTGGCCCAGAAACACTGTGTGGTGCTGAGCTGGTTGATGCTCTTCAGTTCGTATGTGGAGACAGAGGCTTCTACTTCAGTAAGTCAATCCTTACATTCAACTGCTAAGTTTTTCCATGTCATCCATTTGAGTTTGCAACTGCTTTAAGCAAGCATAGGAATTATCCGACCAGGCTGCCAGGTACCACTAGTATCCTGGATCTCAGAGATGCCCAAGCCTTCAATGACCATTAAATCTCAGTTAAGAATAGATATGTTCCCATATTCAGCTCTCTGAGATTTTGATGAATTTTACTTTTCAGGCATATTATTGTTTTTATAACTACTTACCAGCTGCTGCTATCATACCTGCTATGTTATTACTTCTCCTGACCTGCCACTAAAAATAAGGAAATGAAAGGACACACTGGACCCAAGATATTCACAGAGCAGAACTGCACGTACCTATTATCTCAGACTATTCGTAAACAGTTTAAGTACACACTGTATCATATTAAAAACACACAAATCTTCAACATCTGGTTTGAAAAAAAGGAAAAGCTGGAAGGTCAGCAAGCAGAAAGGTATTGCATCCAAGTATCCACATGCTACATAAGTTAAGTACAGGTGAAAGAAAATGCTTTCATGGTGAGATAATAAAGAATATTTCCAGTACAGATAATAGATAAAATTAAGTGTGTAACAGAGTGGATATATTAGTACTCAAGAAACTTTTTGGAGCAAGTTGGAAAATAAACATCACAATACCTTTTCTTTGCTGTGCTTTAGTTTGTGCAAAGCTCTTAGTACCTCCTTACAAGTGGCATCAAGATCAAGAATACACAACATGTAAATAATAGAAGTCTACTTCCAATTTTCAGCTCTTGCTACTCAAATGCTATAAGGATAAGGAAACTTTTAGCAAGGAGTATGTTCATTCTGAACTCATTCATGAATATATATAAATTCAAAACAGACATAAAATTGTGCTTGTAGAGCTTCTGAAATTAGTGCTTACTTCTAACAAAATAATTTCCCAGACTATTCTTGTCTGAAGTTACCTGTCTTTCAGGGCCTCAGTTCCCTTTCCAAACAAGGATATAACTAACAGAAGGAAATATGCAGTGGTTAGGCTATAAAGACAAGAATCTAACTGAAGGTTGTTTTTATTTTCCTACATATTTTTTATATTCTTTGCAAAGTCTACAATTTTTTTAGAAAATTTTTCAATCCTTGTTTTATCCCAATAATTCCTGCCTTCCAAGATTTCACGTTCGTTTTTCTGATCAGTTTCCCCCTACACCATTCCTATTCATTTCTACACATGGATTTATTGATTTCAAAATTTATTTCCTTGCTTGGAATAAAAATAGAACTGGGGAAATCCAAACTCTTGGACCTTGACTTTACAGAAAATCTGGATTTCCTCTACATACAAATTGCTGACATTTTCATTTTCTTCTTCAGACATTCATTAAAGTTTACCCTTTGAACCTGAAAGCCTTAGTTTCATATATGCACAGTAATTCATTAAAGCACTCAGAAAGAAATTTTCATTTTTCTACCAGTTCTTTATTTGTTCACCTAGACAGCACAATCTATTACAATCATCAGCAGATAAGTTACTCTTAATGGACTATTTGAGTAGCATACATATGCTTTCTCTTTGTGATTTGAAGGAATTCAAAGGAAGACTTTCTTATTCTCCTCTTTTTTCTACATCAGAAAACAATCAGACAATTTACTTTACTGTTAGAACAGCATAACTTTTATTTCTTTTTTTTTAACTGTGTGTGGATTTTGGGCATTTTTCCAGTCATTTGGCAAAATGCTGCTTGTTCAGAGAACTATCACACTTGCTTCCTGAAAGAGTGGCTGCTACTGCCAAATAATCAGACATTTCTGTGCAATTATTGTGTTGCTCAAGGTAAAAATATATGTCAAATGCTAACTATCAGCAAAACAAAAAAGAAAAAAAAAATTGTCTTTGCTTTCAATCTCAGTTGTTCTAAAATTACACAACCTGTTTCCAATCTCTAAAGTCCCTGAGCTAGATGACCCTTTCTTTAAAATAACAGGACAGCTTTCAGAAGTTTTTCAAAGGAGTTCATAACCCTTGCAAGCTTGACTTTCGTCTGGCATCAGTGAGAGGCTTCCTCTCTAGTTTTCTTTCTTGTGTGCTTACATTCTAAGTTTTGACTTGAAATTAGTATAACTGGTGACACATTAAGTTCTACTTTATCTTTGTGAAAGACTATGAAAGATTTTACATGGCCAATGTGTTTTAGCAAAGTCTTACACTGTTATAATTAAAAAATCGCAACAAGAAATTTATAAAGTTAATACCTGGCCCTTGGGTGCCAAATCATTTATGTCCCATGCCTGACTCTACTATTGATTCATGAGGAAGCCATTTAACCTGTTTTAGTGTTCTTCCTCTTATTTATTAAAGTATAATAAAAATTATAGTAAGTTCTTTGGTAAAACAGCTTCAGAACCTCGTATCAACTGTACTTCAGAATGCAATATATTGTTGGAAGTTTAAACGTTGTTCAATCTAACAGTACGTTTAAGAAGACTACATCGTTTGCAAAAGTAAAAATGCAGTGAACTTTTTTCTTTTACAGTGAAGAGGAAGTCAATTTAAATTGTATTTTAAGCCCCCTATTCTCATCTTCTTGTTCCTTTACATAACGTATAATCATTGATTATGTTTGTCTTTAAATCGCTCACAAAATAGCTCTGAGGGAAGGTGGGAAGGTTTTCTTCACTAGAGACTTGAAATGTACCTTTTAGCTGAGGTGGATCTCCTGGTTCAGATTCAAGGCCAAAGCTTCTGACTATTTCTTGGAAATTGTAGGTGGAAATAAAGATAGAATTAATTGTGATACTTTATGTAGACTACCCCATAACCATATAACGACATCTACTACTAGGACTGGAATAAAGTTTTTTTCTTTGTATACTCCGCTCATGAAAACTAATTTCCTAGCTATAAAATGAAATTCATTACAGCTTCTGAAGAGATGATTGAGCTGCTTACCACACATGAAGACAAGTATTGACTTCAAGAGGAAGTCAAAACATGTTTCTAAAACTTGTGTTCTTCAAGAGGTGGATTAACAGGGAGTATTTTTTTAAGTTATTTAGGGGAGAACAAGCATTTACTTCTTAAGCTAGTCAAAAAAATAAAACAAAATATCCTTTTTTTTCATGTTAGTTGAATTTGATTGAATTTGATGGACAAACATTCATTCTAACTCGTGTTGTTTTCTAAGGTAAAAAACAAAAATACACACACAAAAAAAAAAACAGCAAGCGCACTTTGCTCTAAAATACTATATTCTCTTTTCATCTAGTTTCTTCTCTTTTGAAAATATTTATTTTCCTTTCCCATTACATGGATAGTAGTTTGGCTAACAGTATATGCAAATGCCAATAAAGAAGTAGTTTGCCTATTTCTTTGGATACTTTTAATTGTTCCAACCTCTAAAGTCCAGGTTCAATGACAACAGTAATTTGGAGATGTAGCACAGAGTATCAACTTCAGGAATAAAAATGAGTCTTCTGAATCTAAAAGCATCATTTGCACAGAAAAGGAGGAACTGAATTTAGAAACTTGACAGTACATAGTTTGTCTCATATGAGAATGGAGGGAATGGAGAATGACCTAGCACAGGCTTCTGTGTTATAAGTGTGAATCTTTAACTACTCCATATCTGTAGGAACTACGAGTCACTAGCTCCTCTGTGTATCTCTGATTGAAAGAAACTGTAATGTTACCAGGAATGGTGTGCTGAAAAGCTGTGGTGGACATAGATCTCACAGTGTCAGTGACAGACTAACACAAAAAAATATTAGTTGTCTTGGCTATGTCCACTCAGCAAGATCTGAGAGTGTTTTTAATTTAAGTTCCTTGGTTTGGCTACATGCCCCATCCATGTCCACATCCTGCATCCATGGAATATTTCAGTCTCTTCCTCCCTCTTACCCTCCTTACATCTTACAGGGGAGCTGTAGCCTAGAAAGGAGCTAAGGTGCAATTCAGCCAAGTCCAGAGTGTCAGTGCTCAGGGAACCAGAACTATATATGCAGTTACTGACACATTTTTGTAAAACAAAAGATAGCTGGGGCTTCTAGAGTGATATCACTGTACAGTCAAATAACTGATTGATGTTTGGAGTATGCTATGTTGCCCAGTGTAAAAAATCACTGTGTAAATTCTCTGAAAAAAAAAGCCTGTCTTTAAGATTATTTTGTTCTTATTTACCTTATTAAGAATGACTAGAAGGTACTCAAAAAAGCTAGCCTTAGTTTAGTGAGGTTAATATTCTTAAGCTACCTCTTTAATAACAGAAATAGAGATTTATCTTTCTCTATCCGTAGATGAGAGAACGAGTCTGGGAGGATTTAGCTTTTAGCATAGACTAGACTGTATGTAAAAGTTTCCTTTACAACTAGTTCTTCTTCTGTCCCCAAGAATTCCATTTCCTTTCAGTCCTTTCGCCATGAGGGACTGCAGTAGTAATTATAATTTTGAGTAGAGCAGAAGCAAGACATTGATCAAAAGTTCATGCTGAAACATCTCTGAGATAAGTCCGGATTACTAAAGCCAAATAAGTATAGCTTCTTCAGAAGTTTAATTTACATATGTCCTTATTAGGTGTTAGACATGGGAGATGCTAGTGCATTTTATGTTTGCCTTTATCTATGCACTAGACAAAGTTTCAAATTTGGTCTCAAATCACAGAAAGCTGTTATTTGAAATATAATTCCTCAACTGCAGTTAGCTATATGTATATTTAATACAATGTTTAGTCTCATGTTGGATAAAATCACTCAAAGAAGCACTCGGCAAGACCAGCATTTATTCTTGGCATAGATGCCCCTCTTACTTTTGCACTGAATCTTAAATACCAAAAAAAAACCCTTCACTGACTTCAGTTCTGGCACATATATTATGCCAAAACTTTGCATGTGGACATCTTCATTTGTCTGGTACTAATAATGAATTAATATTTGATCAACAGCAGGAACTGTTGCAAAGCAAACCATTCACTTTACCAGAAACACAGCCTCTTGATTAAAACTCTTCCATTA